CCTTAAACCTATGAATATTTTATGAATAATTGACTTTTGCATGAAATTAATAATTAGATATAATAAATATAAAATAGCTAACGTTACTATGATTGTTCAAAGCTCATATAATCTTGCTTTTTGTGTATAGTTTTAGAGACTATTGTATAATATGTGCATTTTATGGATATTTGTATCATTTGTTTGAAATATACTATTATTTTTTGGAAACACTTGAAAAGACAATTATTTACAATCCATTTACATACAATTGGTCCAGTACACTTACAATTATGGTAAATCAGTTATTGTATAAACGTCATTGAATGTAGGGTGCCAGGGACAGTTAGAGATTGTATGCGAGAGGGAGTGCAGGAGTCCATTGAAAAGGCATAAGAATAGTGTGGGGGTGGGAGGGCAGGTGTTTACAGAATAGTTTAATAACATTTATACATAATGTAAATTTTAAAGAATATTATCTGGGTAGCACCCACCCACGTATAATACTGTACAGTTGTTTATAGGTCTGTATAAGACTTATGGGCCTATCTATCAAAATAAACTTCAGATATAATTATTTTGTCATTTGATCTTGTTATTCTTATTATTTTGAATAGTCTTATATATCTTTTGCACCGAAATTAGATTCACTTGTTTTTTGTCTCAATATATCATTGATGACAATATAAGTGCTTTCATTGTCTCGTATATTAACACATATCTCGCTATTATTTCAATGTATTTGTCAAACACTAGAGTCATATCATATAGAATCTCAATGTCTTAAACCTATTGTATGTTTTCACATATTCTGTATGTTTTCAGTCACTCGTGAAAGTTATGCAACAAATTGTGGCACAAATTCATTAAAAACATAGCTAGTTAATAGTTGTGTTTAATTAGCATTGAGATACAATTAGCTACATGTGCTCAATCGCATACTGTCACTACATTTATGGTTATCACTCTTTATTGATCAATAAAATAGGTTTTTGTTATTTTTTGTCTGCGATTCTCGGTTTACATAACAGAGTGGAATGGGAGGGGAACGGGAGATGGAGAGAGAAAATTAATTTTCTCATTTCTGATACTCTTATATGTAGTATTAGTGTTTGGATACTGGAGTTATATACTCCTCCCGGTGCGATCTTCCAGTGTATATAAAACAACAGTTAGGCTCTTATGGATGTACTGATAGAGCACCGGTAGTATACGTAATGAAATAGTGAATCAGTATTTCTTTTTTCAATTAAGTGACAGAATTTTCTTATTCAACAAAATGTGAATTCAATTTTGACTTTAAATTAGTAATGATGTGAAAAGCATTCACTTTACGGACCTTTCATATGACATAATACTTGTCCTGAAAGTTAAGTCAATTTATAGATCCATTCAGGAGTTCATAAGACTTGCATTTGTTTGACTGACAACCCCTTATGTAATTAATTAAATATGTTATATAAAAATTATATGATTACGTCCACTACCAATGTCCGTACGCTAACTTTAAATAGCCAAAGTACCTAACTCATAACTAAGGATCAAAATGACATGTGATTTATATTTTCCCCTGGTAACATTCGTAACTTATGGTGATTCGTCAATGAACAGCATATAAACTTAAAAGAATATTAATTATTAAGCCTTCAATTACCGCTAAATACTAACAAATTAATGAATGGAGATATATTTATTTTATTTAAACATTTTGTTCAATATATAGTTTAATGATTACAACTATCATTGTATTACAGAATTATTAGATAATCATTGTATTTATTATACATTAAAGAATAAGAAAGTTATTACTTTTATTTATGATTAAATGAAGGCTTTTAAATAGAAAATAAAATAATGCTATTACTGTATTAGCTAACTCTAATATCATAATAATGTATTTATATTTTAAAAATTAATCATCTAATAAATGCTCAATCTTTTAAAAATGTATTATTATAAGAGAATTTTTAATATATATTAAATTATTTGAGTGAAAGTATCTAAAACAGCTATAAATGATGAAATAGAAATGAATAAACTTTTTGAGAATGGCTTTATCAGTAAATTAAGGGTTATAACAAAAATGTAATAAATGTAATATCATTGTCACCAACAGTTTCCAATTGAGATAATTATTACAATTATTTTTATGAGTTTTCATATTACTTAACTCGTAAATATCTATACATTCAGATATAGTGAACATTATATTTTATAATTTGTTATAATATTTGTTATAATTTGGGTGAAAATGTCTTCACTTTTGGATAAGTTTCGCATTTGCGATACGATTGACACGAATATTAAACACGAAATCAAATTATTTCATGTTTTCGATGACAGCAATATTAAAAAGAATATACTATTTGTCACAAACGATGACACCGTCTATGGATTGGGTGCTAATGGTAGAGGATGTCTGGGTTTGGGTCACGATAATGACGTCAATACTCCTCAAATTATAAGTGAGTTAAGCGGACAACGGGTCAAACAGTTTGTCAAGGGATTGGACTTTGTGTTGGCTATGAATGAGGACAACCATGTGTTCAGTTGGGGACGCAATCATTGGGGACAGTGTGCTAGAGATGTGACACCAATTTATGTGTATTTAAAACCACAAGAAATATCACAATTGAATGACAAGAATATCGCATATATTTGTTGTGGTTTTCATCACTCCCTGGCGCTGACCATCAGTGGACAGGTGTACGGGTGGGGCGACAATACTGAGATTGGTTTCAGTGATACTATAATAACGTCGATATGTTCACCAGTTTTGATACAATTTGAAAATAGTCCTCAAATTAAAAGTATTTTTTGTTCAACTCATGAATCATTTGCCATTACTGTCAAGGGTTTGGTATTTAGTTGGGGTGATAATAGATACCATAAATTGGGACATGGTACTAATGATAAACATATTAAGTCACCCAAATTGATCCCAGGTTTAACTGACATAACATCAATCAGTTCAACAAATTACCAAAATAATTACTTTACGTGTTTTCTATCTAAAAATAATTACATGTATTTTTGTGGCCAATATAAGGATGATATGCAACAAATACAGTTCCAAAGGACCCCGGTACAAATTTCATTAAAACTAAATGTACATAAAATGGAAAAATTTTATTCGTATCGTTCGTATTGTGATAAAGTGTTTATACAAAATGGTCATGTCATTTGTGGGATTATATCAACTAGTAAAGTGATTGAATATAAATATAACAATTTTGTTGATTTCTATGCCAATGAAAAACAATTAACTTATAATACATTATATATCAATACAAATGAACCAAAACTACAATCTAAACAAGCAATAAACACAATTTCACCGGATACTATTAATTCGGATGATGGTAAATAACCTAATTGTAATAAGAATAAATATCTAACAATTTATTTTATAAACAGGATCATCTAAAGTGAAAGATAAATCTAATGAAACAAAACTGGGATTACAATCACAACTAAATCCCAGCCCTGACTTCGACTTAGAGAAAGTCGACCCAAACCTCCGGCGCTTCAAAAAGGCCGGCATTTCGGATGAGCAGTTCAAAGACCCGGACACTCGCGACTTCCGGTATTCCTACTCCAACGGCGGTATTGAGGCCGCGCTCGAGGAGATGAAGGGCTCGCCTCCTATGCCGCCACAACCGTCCGAACACCATAACAATGAGCGCAAACATCCGCCGCACCGCTCGGCTCACAAACCATACGCCCCGTCGATGCCATCGGTGCCCACCGCTGCGCCGCCGCCCCTACCACCCCCTCCAACCATGGCGTTAGCCGGAGCGCCCGTACAGCCACCTCCACCGCCTATTCCTGGGCCCCCAATGCCGCCGGCGTCTCGTCCGACTTCATTTAATACCAGAAATTTAAATAAAGGTTTTATAGCTTTTAAAATGCTTTATATTTTTGTCAATATTTATTGCAATTTTCACAATATTTTCATCAGAATTAGGAAACAATTTGTTTGAAAATCATTACAAAAACCTTTTCGTGGAGTTGTCGGATAAACCTCTGGGTTCGGGAGGTTTTGGGACAGTATTTAAAGTTAAACATAGAATCGATGATCAGATATATGCCGTCAAAAGAGTTGAACTTAAAAGTAAAATTAAATTATAAATTATTTTTGATAAAAACAAAAATATATATAAATTATGTTTTCAGACTTTTCTGATAAATACAAACAACGAGTCTATAATGAAGTGAAGAATTTAGGAAAAGTTCGTTCAGAATATTGTGTTCAGTATTACAACTCATGGCCCGAAAGCAGACACCTCTACATTCAGATGGAGTTATGTTCACAGAATCTGCGGAATATTCTTGAAGTGAAACCACAGGTATTTGGGCGACAAATAGGAGAAGCCATGGATTGTGCCGAGTATTTCATTTCGTGTGAAATATTGCGACAAATATTATAACAAATTATAAAATATAATGTTCACTATATCTGAATGTATAGATATTTACGAGTTAAGTAATATGAAAACTCATAAAAATAATTGTAATAATTATCTCAATTGGAATAGAAAGTGTTCAGTATTTGCATGAATTGAATCCACAGATCATTCACAGAGACCTCAAACCAGAAAACATATTAATTGCTGAAAATGTAGGGAACGGTAGATTTGTTAAGTTAAGTGACTTTGGTTTGGCTACAGTTCACGACAAAAATATAAATTATATGACACGTGATAAACACACTACAGGTGTGGGCACAATAAAGTACCAGGCACCTGAAGTAGCTCAGGGTATATATGGACATAAAGTGGACATTTATAGTCTGGCATTAATTGGTCAAGATATATTTGATTTGAATTTGTTTTTCATTGACCTTGATAAGTATGCAAAAGATATTAGAATTTTAAAATATAATAATAAAATGTTTACAACTTCTATACAGTACTGAAAGCATTTACTCCGGGAATAAGGTTTTAAACACAAAAGTAAATTCATTGCAAAATATATTGCTGTCAATGCTGTCGACCCCTCAATGGATGCGAAGACCTGACTGTTCACAAGTTTTGCGTAAATATAATGATTGGGCTATCAATCGGAATATTCTTAAGGATACAAGTATTGAATTAATTCCAACACAATTAAAGCATCATGATCACTTTTTCTTTGAGTTTATTCATCGACTGTTTAAAACAATCTAAATATCTATCTGATAAACACAATATCACTACTGTATACATTTATTGATAGCATTTTATAGAAAACTTATTTATTTGAAAATATAATATAGTGTACTAAAATTATGTACTTGTTAATTATTTTAAAAATTAATTTTAAATATATACGAAAATAGTAAATAAATTATATTAACAGTGTATTCAAAACAATATGCAATATAAAAAATATTTGAAATCTTAATCATTATATTTGAATAATAATTTACCTTGAATCTATGAACATATCCCATACAAGTACAAAAAATTTATAAAAACAATTTAATTTAATTAACAAATTTGCAATAAAATTTATTATGAAATGGTTTGGTTAGATTTATGAACTTTTGTTTGTATCAATGTAATATTTATGTTATATTTATATCAATGTAAGAATTTAATATATTTATAACATATTGATCTTTTTATCTCAAATAAGTTTAATTTATAATTAAATAGCCTTTCCTTACAGACCACTGAACTTAAAATACAATTATTGTTTCCAAATGTTATTTATAATATTTATAAGCAATTTGAATGCAATTTAATTAATTCGGGATAAGTCTTGAGGTTCCAGTGACCACCACATGCCTACACCTGTAGTGGATATACAAAGGGAATGGTGTGCAATGACAATGAATTTATTTTCAATTATTATTTTCGACTCTTTCTGTCCATCCTTTTCCATCTAATTGTCCTTAAACTGTATGTCTGTATATTTGCACCGATAGCCTCACAGGAATAGGAATTTCATTGCAATCGACCAATGATTACAACAATAAGTGAATGAATCCACTATTTTATACAATGTCTACTTTAATGATTGTAAAAGTTTTCAAAAATACAGTACAATAGTAACATTTATTCAGTGATATATTTAACACATGTTTGTAAAAAATTGTATCCATTTTATTGATTGTTTAAATAATAACTGTTGTATTATTTAAATAAAATGTGTTTTATATACTAAACACTATTGTAAACTTGTGTCAGGTATATAAGCTTATTTGGCTAAACCATTACATAAAGTCGTATTTGCGTATTAAACCTTGTATTTGCATTGAGACTTGTTTCCCTTTGCTATCCAACGGTTCATGTCAATCTTTTGCCAGTTATAATATAAGCAACGTTATTATATCCAATAAATCCAATAAAATAATATAATTAAATTAGAAATTGTCATCATATCAAATGGATCTCCGTTTTGTATTGCTAATAGCAAGTGGATCATTTCTGAACGTGAATGCGCAAATAATATATCAAATTGGTAATTTCATGAATGTTATAATTGCAAAATGCGATTCAATAGTGAATTGTGGCGCGTTATATACCGTGGATGATGCCAATTATTAATATATTTGTATGATATTTACTCGGCAGGCTTTACCCCGTTTATAAACATAACATTAGTCGCTCATTTCGAGATGATCTGCAACAGTAGCCGACAGCGCCGTCAACATCAGCTCAATCCAGTTGTCGGGACAGACGGGTAGTGAGGTCAGTTGTAATGGCTATAACGTGGTCAATTACTCGTCATCCAATTATATCGCTGTTCAGCTGAATCCGCCCTTGGTCTTTTCGCTCACCTTTCGCTCCTACTACGTCAGCACTTTTACCAATGGTTTGTTTAGCAAAAACTTGTCGATTCTTTAACAGTCATATATGGGGCCAATTGTATTAATACAACGCGAACTGTAAACTTGTTTTATTCTCAATCTGGCCAAAAACTAGCCTATATCCATTATAACATAGGGTATAGGCTAGTTTTGGCCATATTGAGAATAAATCAAGTTTACATACATTGTAAGAAAAATATCAAACTCAAAAGTACCAGTATATAATATATATAATTTATAATTTACTATTATAGTACACTGTTTATTCACATAACAAATATCATGTTTTGTTCTCATTTGACTGTTAATGGATACACATTACTTACATGACTTCATTATATTTATATTTTATGATCAATTATTAAGTACACAATGTTTGTTAGGGGATCAATTTACTTACTTACATGGACCTGTGACTGATGGTCCGTGCGTTGGATCATTTTTTTACTACCGAACATTGTACCGAGGTCAACCATTAAATGGTTGCCAAAGTAGTAGTGGAATCGTCGCTGAAAATGGATTTTACAGATTTGCAAGAGTTAGCGGCGCGTGTAAGTCGGTGTGCCAAATAAATTCCCTTGATAATATAGGTTTCAACGTAGAATCATATTCACCAGGTGTAAATAATTACGGTATTTCAGGTTAATACTTCTGTGAAACAAATAGTTTGCCCTTATATAATAAACATACAATAAGGTAGTTTATTAGTAGTATAGGGGCATACAGAAAAAAATAAATTGGCGCAAATTTTAATAACTTTTTAATTACAAGTCCTAGATTTAAAAAATATTGTTAACATATATTTAATGCAGTACTTGTACATTTAAATAAAATTAATACAAATTTATACAAATCCGTTTATATACATTAAACCTTCTTTAAATTATTCATTAATAATAAATGAATCTTTTACTTTTATTAAATTTCATTAATCACGTTTGAAATTTTTAAATTTAAATATTTAAAAACAATTAAGTATACAGGTCAAACAATATGCAATTCCAAGATTTATCATTTCCAATACTCTAATTCCGGGACTGTCCGGTCAAACAAGGACATATACTCTAAAACATAAGCGGGGTATTTACAGGTTAGTCATCTTTAAAGCATATATTAGTGTTGAAAATAATTATTAAAGTTAGTATTATTCTACATCACTATGCAATCACCATGACAATTGGGTACATGCCTGGCATATTGTATTCAAAAATACGAACAGTTACTAAATATTGTTTTCGTATTTTTATTAAATAGTGACTAGTAATACAATAACCAACAAGTAATAATACTTTTAAGATATTAATTACAACTAAAAATAGTATAATATCCAGATTATTTCAAATACATAAACTAGTGAACAAACTGACCAAGTTTTACGTGGGCTGTGTGTCCACTACTGTCTCATTGCCGCCAAATAAATGACTTGAAAATGAAAATCCAATGAATCGGACGATTGGTTTCCGAGCGCCAGTTGGGCGGCAAACGGGTCGAGTCGAGTGGCGTTCGGCCGCATGAGAGCGTCATAGACGGCGTTCCGCATAAACACGTCTTTCGGCGACTCCGTGTCCCCGATGTTGAGCGCAGTCCACATGAATTCGGGGATTCGTTTCCCTTTCGACGGCCCTTAGAGTCGATGAACTTATTTGTAAGCATTTTAGACATGAAACTAAAACTAACATAATAAACAAGGTGCGAGTTTTGAACAGCTAATTAATTTTGTATTGTATAATATTACTGCACTGTATGACTATGTATTGTGGTACAGCATATAAATACGCTGAGCCCTGCCATTGGTAAGCCATTGTGTTTCGGTTAGGGCTGCCAACTATTTTCATCGCCCGGGAGGATAGTTAAAATTGAGCCTGGCTAGGGGGGCATTGGGAGGACAAAATTTTTAAAAATGTTTAATTAATAATATTGTTATATATTGTTACTAGTGGCCACACTTTAATTAAAACTTAATTACTATTTCAATTCAATAAACTAATTGTTGTAATCCTAAAAATTGTCTCAAATTGTTTAAATAATGATTACAAACACAAGTAATTTTCATGGATTTCACAAAGAAATTGAAAATTAAATGAATATTTGTCATCATTTTGACAATCACCTTTGGGTGAACATTACACTGCCCTCCTTAGACCTTCGGGACGGACTGTTTTTTGTGGGCCCGATTGGAGGACGTTTGGCAGCCCTACACGTACGTCTATGATCTATACTTATCTATGCCTATCTGTTTTCGACTGTTTAAATGGAAAACCCGTTGGAAAATATTGGATTCGACGACTTGTATGCCATTCGCCAAACAGGAATCGCGCCAAACATGAAGCTGTTAAGCGGCGTGCACAAAGTACATACGCACTGGTAGGGGGGAGGGGGGGTAACCATGTTAAATTCCTATGTACGATGGGCGTGTAGGGGGGAGGGGGGTCAATTTTTGAATAAAATTTTGCGTACGTACTTTGTGCACGCCGCCTAAGCGGCTGAACGCGAGTTAATATCGCGTAAACCGTATTCGCGTTTCTGTTCGTCGGATAGCAAGGCGTTCACATCGGGTGTGGCCAACAGGTGGGCCATAAATATGCCGTTTGGCGCTAATAATCGTCTCAATACTGCCATTAATTGGTCGGCGTTGCGGATGAACTGAAGGGCGCCGTTCGAGAACACAAGCGACACCCGGCCCTCCAGACCCCTCACCCTATCGGGCAACTCGTCCCATGAGAGACTCGTGTCTCTCCTGAAAGTTTTGAGAAATCCTATATTTATTCAGTTTATAGTAATAAATGTTTTGTTAAATAACGTTTTGTAATTGTTTTGCGGTTCACATCAGAAAACCTAAGATTAAATGATACATAAGCTTTGATTATTACATGTAATCTTGCTTTTTGTGTATAGTTTTAGAGACTATTGTATAATATGTGGATTTTATGGATATTTGTATAATTTGTTTGAAATATACTATTATTTTTTGGAAACACTTGAAACAATAGAGGGAGAGTGTGCCGGGAGAACAGCCTTAATTGAGTTAATGTGGGGGTGGGAGGGGAGGTGTTTACAGAATATTTTAATAACATTTATACATAATGTAAATTTTAAAGAATATTATCTGGGTAGCACCCACCCACGTATAATACTGTATAGTTGTTTATAGGTCTGTATAAGACTTATGGGCCTATCTATCAAAATAAACTTCAGATATAATTATTTTGTCATTTAATCCTGGTATTCTTATTATTTTGAATAATCTTATATATCTTTTGCACCGAAATTAGATTCACTTGTTTTTTGTCTCAATATATCATTGATGACAATATAAGTGCTTTCATTGTCCCGTATATTAACACATATCTCGCTATTATTTCAATGTATTTGTCAAACACTAGAGTCATATCATATAGAATCTCAATGTCCTAAACATATTGAATGTTTTCACATATTCTGTATGTTTTCAGTCACTCGTGAAAGTTATGCAACAAATTGTGGCACAAATTAATTAAAAACATAGCTAGTTAATAGTTCTGGGTTTAATTAGCATTGAGATACAATTAGCTACATGTGCTCAATCGCATACTGTCACTACATTTATGGTTATCACTCTTTATTGATCAATAAAATAGGTTTTTGTTATTTTTTGTCTGTGATTCTCGGTTTACATAACAGAGTGGAATGGGAGGGGAAGGGGAGTTGGAGAGAGAGAATTAATTTTCTCATTTCTGATACTCTTATACGTAATACTAGTGTTTGGATACTGTAGTTATATACTCCTCCCGGTGCGATCTTCCAGTGTATATAAAACAACAGTTAGGCTCTTATGGATGTACTGATAGAGCACCGGTAGTATACGTAATGAAATAGTGAATCAGTATTTCTTTTTTCAATTAAGTCACAGAATTTTCTTATCCAACAAAATGTGAATCAATTTTGACTTTAAATTAGTAATGATGTGAAAAGCATTGACTTTACGGACCTTTCATATCACATAATATTGTGTTGAAAGTGAAGTCTATTTATAGATCCATTCGGGAGTTTATAAGACATGCACTTAACTATGTATTTCAAAATTAACTCAATGATCATAATTAAAATTTTACTGGGCATTGTTTATACCTAGGAATGAAAAAGTAATGTAATTAAAAGTAGGTATTATATAAATAGTGGCTATGTGTATGACTGTGATTAATACACAACTTATTCACTAGTTTAATGAGTTTTTGATTTTCATAATTTGAATCCCTTATAGTAATTTGAGGGTTCTACCCCAAAAGACCTAAACTAAACTAACTAACTTACCAATGGTCATTTGATTTAATTTAGGTTAGGGTAGGTTAGGTGAGGTTAGGACAAATCTATTCCACTTATCAAATTTAAAATACGACCACTGGTCAGTTAGTTATTTGAGTTTAGGTCTTTTGGGGTAGAACCATATTAGACACATTAAAAATAAATTTAGAGGCCCTTTTACTTTCCACTTGCCCATATTATTTTCGGACAACTTTATAATTAAATGTGTCATAAAAATCAGGTGTTATTAATTTTATCAACTAATTTATTACATGTGCCCACATTAAATGACACTGATGCTGTTTTATTTAATTATGAACCACCACTGAAACGTAGTGAAACAGAATTATAATTCAGGTTTTAATAGAAATAATTCAATTATATTATTATTACTCTCTCTCTCCCACTCACTAACTCTTATGAAAATTGTACTAGAAAATAATACCGTAATTTATGATAACGCTTCTATACATACAGTTACATACAATAAACCCCCTGTACAAAGTGCATCAAAAATAAAACATCAACAATACTTAAATAAAAATAAAATACAATTTAATATTAATTCAAATAAACAGCAATTGCGTCAAATAATTAAAGTCAATATTGAAAATAATAATATCACCACTCACACACCCGTCCGTTTACCCCCTTATGGTTGTGAACTAAACCCCATTGAGCTTATTTTTGCTCAATTCAAACATTTAATTTCTAAATATAATTTTAATGACAATATTAACGAATTTCATAATTTATTATTCAATTCATTAGATCTGATTTCCGCTGAAAGGTGGGCTAATTGTGTCAGACATTGTGTCAAACTAGAAGGTAATGGATGGATTAGGCTTAAAATAAATAATTATTGTATTTCTGAACACAATTACATGTTAAATTCTGAATAAAATAAGTTTTAATTAAGTTTTAAAGTTTTGTACATTATAAATATATACTACTGTATCATTACAATAGTAACACATAACTTATGATTCACTCTACGGAGAATCGGTACTATTTAATATATAAGCCCTAATATGCAATGTAAGTATACATTTAATAATAAATGGTACCAAAACGTATGTTTTACGCTCCATTAAGTGACATATTGTTTAGACAGCACGTAAGACTTTGTTTTGCTGTATTCATATGAAAACGATGATATAAGATATTTTCATTTAGATGCTTGTCATTTATTTAAATAATTAAAATTAATTAAAAATGTCATCAATTCTCAATAAGTTTACAGTTTGTCATATAATACCTGAAAATATGAAACAAGAGATTATTTTATTACACGTTTTCAATGATTTCAATGGCAAACAAAATGTATTATTTGTTACAAAACACGACACCGTCTATGGGTTGGGCGGTAATGCAAGAGGATGTCTGGGTTTGGGTCACAACACACCCGTCCAGACACCACAACCTATACCTGATGTGAGTCATCAAAACATTCAACAATTTATTAACGGCGATGATTTTGTGCTGGCTATCAATGATGTTAATCATGTTTATAGTTGGGGTTATAATTTTAGGGGAGTTCTAGGCAGAGTTGTAACACCGGATGGGGTTTATTCAAAACCAATGAAAATCTCGTTTTTTAATGAGAAAAATATAATTCAAATCAGTTGTGGTTATACGCACTCCCTGGCCCTCAGCCTCACTGAACAAGTGTATGGATGGGGTGACAATAGGTTTGGAGAAATAGGTTGTGGACATAGGAGTGATAGTATTTGTGAACCAATTGAAGTGCAATTTGGAAACAATTATAAAATCAAAACAATTTATTGCTATAATGACTGTTCATTTGCCATAACATCGGACGGACTTGTGTTCAGTTGGGGTTATAATAAAGGCAATAAATTGGCACATAATATGACCGATGATTACATATTAAGCCCACAATTGTACACAACATTAACGGATATTAAAGATGTTTGTGTGAAATATCATGGATTGTTGTTGTTAGAATCCTCGGTATATTTTCTGACAAATAATGGATTTTTATATTATTTCAAAAAAGACAGAAAATTAAATAAAATTAAAAAAATAAAACAAAATCATAACATTCAACGATTATATAAAATTGATTCATACAAATGGACAAAGTGGTGTCCCTTTTTAAAAGACAACAGAATATATGAACTTGATGAATTAAACAAATTGAATGAAACACAATTTGTTAATATTTACGATTATGTTGCTGATAAATACAAAATAACATACAATACAATAAATCTAAGAGAAAGTTATAACAACACATTTGTTGAGTTAACAAACATAGGATCGGGTGGTTTCGGAACTGTACATAAAATTCAAAATAAAAATGACGACAAAATATATGCAATTAAAATACAACAAATTAATGGTATTAAAATAATATTTAATTATAATTTATTAATACTTTTATTTTCAGATTTAAATAAATACGAAAAGTCTAATGCATTCAATGAGGGGAAAAAATTATTATTAGTTCAATCGGAATATGTTGTAAAGTATTACGACTCATGGCGTGAAGGCAACTGTATTTACATTCAAATGGAGTTATGTTCACAAAATCTTCGCAATGTTATTCAAATCAAACCACAAGTATTTGGTCGACAATTAGGATATCCCATGGATTGCGTCGAGTATTTCATTTCGTGTGAAATATTCCGTCAGATCTTAGAAAGTGTTGAGTATTTGCATGAATTGAATCCACAGATCATTCACAGAGACCTCAAACCCGACAATATTTTAATTTCTGAAAATGTCAAAAATGGTAGATTTGTTAAGTTATGTGACTTTGGTTTGGCTACAGTTCACGACAAACGCGTTCACTACAGGACTACACAAAAACATACGGCAAATGTGGGAGACATTAAATATATGGCACCAGAAGTATCTCAGGGGGAGAAATACGGACACAAATCGGATATTTATAGTTTAGCACTAATTGCCGGTGAATTATTTGACGTGAACTTAAATGAAATTGATTTGGATGAGTAAGTTACATTTCAAAATGTTATATTTTATTTAATGTTTATTTTGATCATTAATTTTATCCAGTACAACTATTTATTCTACTGCCAATCCAGTGTTAAATTCACCGGTAGTTCAGTTGCAAACCATATTGGAGTCAATGTATACACAAAAGTGGCGAAAAAGACCCGAATGTAGGGAAGTGTTGACTAAATATGATGAGTGGGCTATTAATAGATATATTGTAGCAAATGATGGACATTTAGAAAACATGTTAACTAATCTTAAAAACCAAAATAATATATTTTTCTATGAAATATTGTCAACAAATTTATTACAATATGTGTTGCCTATATTAAATGACATTGATGATGTTTTATCATATTATGAACCACCACCGAAACGTAGTTGTACAGACTTATAATACAGGTTTTATTTATATTTGTGTTTTCTAATTTTATATATATTACTCTGGAAATATAGTAATTATTAGTTTTAGAATAATTATAATATCTACATTATTTTATGTGGAGACAATTTAGCCAGCATATATTAATGGGGCTCCATTGATGGGTTATACAAATGTACTCAAAATTATGAAATTACACTACGAACAACTTATTGAATTGCAATTTGTCAAAAACTTATTGCATTTAGTATCTGCATTTCATTTGTGTTATTCATATGGAAATGATTTATTTTATTCTTAATGTTTAGAAATAAGTGTGCAAGATTGGCATAACATTTAGTTAAGATCATGTTAAATTATAATTATATTCCTAAAATTATATTGATTTAAATAATAAGTGATTTAAGATATAATATACTGTGTAAACTTAAAAATAAACTTAAATAATTATTGAAATAAATTTGAATTATTAAATATTCTCCATAATTTATTATAAATAAAGTTTTTTATTAGACATAAAAATAATATTTAAAATTGATTATTAAATATAATAATTTAAAGTTGATTAATTTGTTTAATTGCTTTTTCCAATGTATTTTAATATAATATAGTGATCATAAGATATGTCAAGTACAAATAACCAAAACATATAAACTAATGAATTGGAAATCAATTTATTTAAATCTTAAAAGAAATCATAAGAAAGTTATTCATAAGATTTATTATACCTTTATATAAATCACGAGTAATATAATATTTAATATTAGTTTATTGATTTAAATACTAATTTATATCTACAAATTAGAGTAAAAGTATTAGTTTTATTTTATTATAGCATATTAATCTAGCTAAATTATCATTCATAGGTCATTTAGTACATGTTAGTACAGTGTCATCAGTCATATGAATAATTCATCAATGACATTTAAAAACTCATATACTGGACTACTCGATCGCATGGAACACTAATAGCAAGCATTATATGGGCTAGGGACAACCATAGTAACGTTAGCTATTTTTATTAATATTTTAAAATCCAGTAATATTTTAACCTGATAAGTTATAATACTACTCGTTTACCTTAAACCTATGAATATTTTATGAATAATTGAAAAGGCAACTGTATTTACATTCAAATGGAGTTATGTTCACAAAATCTTCGTAATGTTATTCAAATCAAACCACAAGTATTTGGTCGACAATTAGGATATCCCATGGATTGCGTCGAGGAAAAAGAATGTATAGAAACATACGCTTACTGAGTAACTGTCATACCATATTATCGGTCCACCCTTAATGGGGAACTACACTTATCTCTATAGTTACCACCGTTAATATAAATCCTAAATATTATCGAAGACATAAATTGATTGTATTGTGTCCCACTACAAACATCCTTTATAAACCCACAGTTATTCCTATAGAATAACCTGATTAATATAACGTAATTGTCCCTTTAGAACATCAAATAAAGGTATTAACTCTATGAGGAATTTTGATTAAGATTTTACTATGAGATACAATCGTGGAATTATATAACTTTATGTGTTAGAAATTGTCAACTCCAAAACGGATAATCCAATCCTAATCCTCTCTTCACTGTTTTATAGCCCAACTTCTCGGTTTGTAAAAAAATTTATTTGGTATAAAAATCTACCATGCTAACTGCGCCATTTGAGTTTACAAAAAGAGGTTTTTCCATTGAAAATACATTAGATTTAGTCATTGAAAAAACAGTAACAATATTGATTGATAAAAACCTTAATAATTCCTAAACTAATCATGATAAAATAAATCTATTTAAAACTAATTTAAAGTATCTGATCCTGATTATTTTCCCGAAGACAGGACTTTCCTATAGCAATTATTAGTGTATTAATATTTAGTTTCTGTACAGAAAAACTATACTAGGTAAAATTAATCCGATGACTGGAATTGAAAGATAATTAAAAATAAATGAGTTCTTATTTCAGGAATTTTTAATTATTATTGAATTTGTATTTTTAATTTAAGAAACAAATGTCAAATAAATAATTTTGTATAAAATGTACACTTTTATGACTATTATTATTAAGAAATTTAATGATAATAAAAAATTCCTGAAATAGGTACTCGCTTATTATGAATTATCTTTCAATTCCAGCAATCAGGTTAATTTTATCTAGTATAGTTTTTGCTGTACTGAATATCAATTTTAACTTACTAATAATTGTTCTAGAAATGTTCTGTCTTCTGGAGAATAATCAGGATCATGTGCTTTAAATTCTCTTAAAATATATTAATTTTATCATGGTTAGTCTAAGAATTATTAAAGTTTAACTGATCAATATTGTTACTGTGCATTTTCTATAACCAAGTCTATCTATTTCAATGAAAAAACCTCTTTTGTAAACTCAAATGGCGCAGTTACCATGATAGATTTCTACACCAAATAAAATATTTTTACAAACCGAGAGTTGGGCTATAAAACAGTGAAGAGAGGATTAGGATTGGATTATCCGTTTTAGCGTACAAAATTTCTAACATAAAGTTATATAATTGCACGTGTAAATTGATAAGAAATAATGAAAATATATTGCATAAAATGAATATAACATTTATTTCATTAGAGTAATAGAAATAAAAAAGTTTATCTCCATTTGATTTCTATAGTCATTATCATTAATATTACGGTGTATTCATAAATGTTGTAATATTTTATATGCTGTATCTTTAATGTTTGTATAATAAATTTAAATAATATATATTCAAAGTTTGTATAAATATTTGTATGTATAATTAATTAAACTACTTTTAAATATTACTCTCTAAATTGTATAATTTACTATAATTTTCAAATTATATTTTTAAAACATTATTTATTGTTTTTAAAAATACAGATTAAATAACTCATAACTTATTAAAAGTTTATAATAATATAAGAGATTGCTAACCTTTTATTTAAATGTTTATAATTTATAAATAAAATCAAAATTAATTAAAAATGTCATCAATTTTGAATAAGTTTACAGTTTATCATATAATACCTGAAAATATGAAACAAGAGATTATTTTATTACACGTTTTCAATTACAAACAAAATGTATTATTTGTTACAAAACACGACACCGTCTATGGGTTGGGCGGTAATGCAAAGGGATGTCTGGGTTTGGGTCACAACACACCCGTCCTAACACCACAACCTATACCTGAATTGAGTCATCAAAACATTCAACAATTTATTAACGGCGATGGTTTTGTGCTGGCTATCAATGATGTCAATCATGTTTATAGTTGGGGTCATAATTTTAGGGGACAGTTAGGCAGAGTTGTGACACCGGACGGGGTTTATTCAAAACCAATGAAAATCTCGTTTTTTAATGAGAAAAATATAATTCAAATAAGTTGTGGTTTTGCGCACTCCCTGGCCCTCAGCATCAGTGGACAAGTGTATGGATGGGGTAACAATAGGTTGGGACAAATAGGTTGTGGACATACGAGTGATAGTATTAGTGAACCAATTGAAGTGCAATTTGGAAACAATCATAAAATCAAAACAATTTATTGCTATAAACGGTGTTCATTTGCTATAATATCGGACGGACTTGTGTTCAGTTGGGGTTATAATAAAGGCAATAATTTGGCACATAATATGACCGATGATTACATATTAAGCCCACAATTGTACACAACATTAACGGATATTAAAGATGTTTGTGTGACATATGGATTTTCGGTGATAGAATCCTCGGTATATTTTCTGACAAATAATGGATTTTTATATTATTTCAAAACAGGCAGAAAATTAAATAAAATTAAAAAAATGAAACAAAATCATAACATTCAACGATTATATCAAATTGATTCATGCTATATGAAAAAGTGTTGTTCCTTTTTAAAAGACAACAGAATATATGAACTTGATGAATTAAACAAATTGAATGAAACACAATTTGTTAATATTTACGATTATGTTGCTGATAAATACAAAATAACATACAATACAATGAATCTAAGAGAAAGTTATAACGACACATTTGTTGAGTTAACAAACATAGGATCGGGTGGTTTCGGAACTGTACATAAAATTCAAAATAAAAATGACGACAAAATATATGCAATTAAAATACAACAAATTAATGGTATTCAAATAATATTTTATTATAATTTATTAATACTTTTATTTTCAGATTTAAATAAATACGAAAAGTCTAATGCATTTAATGAGGGAAAAAAATTATTATTACTTCAATCGGAATATGTTGTCAAGTATTACGACTCATGGCGTGAAGGGAACTGTATTTACATTCAAATGGAGTTATGTTCACAAAATCTTCGCAATGTTATTAAAATCAAACCACAAGTATTTGGTCGACAATTAGGATATCCCATGGATTGCGTCGAATATTTCATTTCGTGTGAAATATTCCGTCAGATCTTAGAAAGTGTTCAGTATTTGCATGAATTGAAACCACAGATCATTCACAGAGACCTCAAACCCGACAATATTTTAATTTCTGAAAATGTCAAAAATGGTAGATTTGTTAAGTTATGTGACTTTGGTTTGGCTACAGTTCACGACATGAGTCGTAATACTTGACAACATATTCCGATTGAAGTAATAATAATTTTTTTCCCTCATTAAATGCATTAGACATCTAATGCATTGAATGAGGGAAAAAACTTATTATTAGTTCAATCGGAATATGTTGTCCAGTATTACGACTCATGGCGTGAAGGGAACTGTATTTACATTCAAATGGAGTTATGTTCACAAAGTCTTCAAAATATTATTGAAAACAAACCACTAGTATTTGGTCGACAAAAAGGACATTCCATGGGTTGTGTCGAGTATTTCATTTCGTGTGAAATATTCCGTCAGATATTAGAAAGTGTTCAGTATTTGCATGAATTGAATCCACAGATCATTCACAGAGACCTCAAACCCGACAATATATTAATCGCTGAAAATGTCAAAAATGGTAGATTTGTTAAGTTATGTGACTTTGGTTTGGCTACAGTTCACTACAAACGCATTCACTACAGGACTACCCAAAAACATACGGCAGATGTGGGACACATTAAATATATGGCACCAGAAGTATCTCAGGGGGAGAAATACGGACACAAATCGGATATTTATAGTTTAGCACTAATTGGCGGTGAATTGTTTGACGTGAAGTTAAATGAAATTGATTTGGATGAGTATGTCACATTTCAAAATATATACCATTAATATGTTGTATTTTAATTGCATATATTTTGTTGTCATTTTTATTTTTGATTTTATGTACAGTTCCGAAAACCCGACAACATATTAATCGCTGAAAATGTCAAAAATGGTAGATTTGTTAAGTTATGTGACTTTGGTTTAGCTACAGTTCACGACAAACGCATTCACTACAGGACTACACAAAAACATACGGCAGATGTGGGAGACATGAAATATATGGCACCAGAAGTATCTCAGGGGGAGAAATACGGACACAAATCGGATATTTATAGTTTGGCATTAATTGGCAGCAAATTGTTTGACATTAATTTATATGAAATAGATCTAATGAAGTATATTATCAAAAACAATACATAAATTGATTTCTAATATAACTTATTTTACAGTCCAAAGACTTATTCAACGACATATCACATGTTAAACAAACCGATAGTTCAATTGCAAACACAATTGGATTCAATGTTTGCTCAGAAATTTAATACAAGACCTGAATGTAAGCAAGTATTGGATAAATATATTGAATGGTCTATTGATAAATATATTGTAGCAAATGATGGACATTTAGAAAACATGTTAACTAATCTTAAAAACCAAAATAATTTATTTTTCTATGAAATTGTATCAACTAATTTATTACAATATGTGTTGCCTACATTAAATGACATTGATGATGTTTTATCCTATTATGAACCACCACCGAAACGTAATTGTACAGACTTATAATACAGATTTTATTTATATTTGTGTTTTCTAATTTTATATACAGTCTCTAAATAGAGTAACCTGGTTTTTCTAAGAAAAACACACGAAGACAATTTTTGATTTCATTTATATTTATATAAGAAATCCGGAATTTTGTGATAAATTTTTTGAAATGAAATTTATTTGATTGTGACCTCTGTGTCAAAGGTTATGGCCAAAAAACAGTTTCCGAGGTTACACCTTACATATGTAAAATCTAACATTTTCAATGAATTTGTAAATTCATAAATGTTTTGACGTGTTTCGGGAATTTGCAAGATAATTCACGGATCACTAGATATTTTAAGTCAAATGTCTTAATAACCGTCAAAAAATATATATTTTCGTATGGCTTTAAAAGGGAAATTTAGAATATAAACTGTAATTTTATATTTTAATCAATGTGCATCACTTCAATGAAATTATTTCATTTTTATTGCTTAAATAACTGTAATTTAAAATATTTGAATACAATCTATTATATACACAAAAACTTAGTATTAAAATATTAAACACTTAATATGTTTTATTCTTAATGTTTAGAAATAAGTGTGCAAGATTAGCGTAACATTTAGTTAAGATGATGTTAAATTATAATTATTATATTCCTAAAATTATATTGATTTAACTAATAAGCGATTTAAAATATAATATACTGTGTAAACTTAAACAATAAACTCAAATAATTATTGAAACAAATTTGAATTATTAAATATTGTCCATAATTTGTTATAAATAAAGTTTTTTACTAGACATAAAAATAATATTTAAAATTGATTATTAAATATAATAATGTAAAATTGATGCATTTGTTTAACTGGTTTTTTCCAATGTATTTAATTAATATAATATAGTTATCATAGGATATGTCAAGTAAAAATAACCGAAATATATCATAGACCAATGAATTGGAAATCAATTTATTTAAATCATAAAAGAAATCATAAGGAAGTTATTTATAAGATTTATTATACCTTTATATAAATCACGAGTAATATAGGGGCATACACTTAAAAACGGTTTGGGGGAAACTTGAATAGCTCGCTAACTACAAGTCCGAGACTGAAACGGTAAAAAGTATTATTAACATCTATTTAATGCAGAACTTTTACAGGTAAAATAAATTTAATCAAAATGTACAGTAATTGAAATAACGGAATGTTTGCAAAGGTCATATGTACAGGTCAGGGTAGAGGTCATGGGTCAATATGGTTAAGTGAGTTTGAAAGCTCAATAGTAGAGCTTTTATTTAAGCCATATGTGGTAAAAATCTAATTGCTAATAATGGCGGT